TGGCCTCAAGCAATCCTCCTGCCTCCACCTCCCAAAGAGCACTTGCCCATTCTGTTCCCTCTGCCTGATTACCTGCCTAGTTCCATCCTTCACTTCTCAGCTCTGATACCACCTCCTCCAGGAAACCCTCCCTGATCACCAGGCCAAGCTAACGTCCCCACTAGGCTCCTACAGTCCTGCGGGCTCCCCATTCCATCCCAGACCCATCTGGGTCATCACTGTCTGGAACTGACTTGTCCCCCCACTGGACTGGGAGCCCCAGGAGGGTAGGGCTGCAGCTGTCCTGGTGCCTGGTGTGTCTCCAACACCACCTAGCACTTGGTGGGCACTCAAAGAGTGTTTGCTAAATGGATTGTCAAATCTGGGTTCCAACGATAGCATAATGGCGAGGGACCTGCCAGAGGAACATAGCCTGGGCAACGCAGCAAGACCCCCGTCTGTACAAAGAAATAGAAAAATTAGGCAGGCGTCGTGGCATGCGCCCATAGTCCCAGCTACTCTGGAGGCTGCAGTGGGAGAATCGCTTCAGCCCAGGAGTGTGAGGTTGCAGTGAACTATGATGATGCCACTGCACTCTAGCCTGGGTGACAGGACAAGACCCTATCTCAAAAAAAAAAAAAAAAAAGGCATTTATCTTATCACATGACCAGCACCCTCTTGGCTAGTTGGGGATCACTGTGAGATGAATTTTTAAAAAAAGCATTTATTGAGTGCCTCCTGCATGTGAGGCAGTCTGGCGACACAGCAGTGACACAGCCCTGCCCTCATGGGCTGTCTTGCTGTCCTTTCCTCCGCTGACACACTCCTGCCTCCTCCCCTTGCAGGTGACGGAATGTCTGACCACCGTGAAGTCAGTCAACAAGACGGACAGTCAGACCCTCCTGGCTACTTTTGGAGTAAGGAAATCCCTGCCCCCCGGGGCATTTCTACCCACTTCTAGGAAGCCCCTCGCCCCTTTCCTTCCATCTCCCTGCCCACCACTTGGCCCCTTCCTGCCTTCTCATAGGCCTCCAACCGCCCCCCCCGGAATATCTTAGGCCCCGCATCAGCTAGGGCGGGGTAGGCTTTTATGGTCACCTCCCTGAGCCCTCACTTCTGTTCCTCAGTCTCTGGAACAGCTCATAGCTGCATCGAGGGAAGATCTGGCCTTGTGCCCCGGCCTGGGCCCTCAGAAGGTAAGAGCTCTGGGAGTGAACTCGAGGGGTCAGGGGTTGGAGGGAGCCCCAAAGGAACAGGACGTGAGATCCCAACGTTTTAAGGTTTGGAAGGCTCACAGTGCCTCTCTTACGAATGGGGAGACTGAGGTATAAGAGCGTAGGGACCAGTCCAACGTCACACACTCAGTTTGGGATCAAATCCAGATGGGGCTACTTCTCTCCTGGCCCCCAGACCCACCTCCAAGCTGGGAGAAAAAGAAGCAAGAACCCACTCTAGATATACCAGACAAATGGCTCTTTTAATAATAGCTTTCTCATCTTTCTCTCCCACAACTAGGCCCGGAGGCTGTTTGATGTCCTGCATGAGCCCTTCTTGAAAGTGCCCCAGTGACCCAAGGACACCCCTGGTGTAATAATAAAGCATTTTTCCGGTCCAGGCTCCTGCTGGGTGTGCTGGTGCAGCCGCCGGGGAGGGGTCCCCACCTTCACCTTTTATTAGTGCCTCAGTTTCCCCAGGGAACACTACACAGGATCCTGCTGCAGCTTCTTTTTCCGCTTCTTCTCCCGCCCTTCTGCAGGAGCCACCTCCCCAGGCTGTAGGTTCAGCAGGGGCTCTGGCATGTCCTCTGGGGACGCCGTCTCCGGCACCCCGCTTTCCTGACTCCGCTTCTTCCTCTTCTTGGCGGATCCGGGAGCTGCCTGGGCCTCAGGCTCACCCTCGCCCCGCAGCTCGGGCTCCACCGTATCCCTTGGTGGGTCCGTCATCTCAGTCCTTGGCTCTGTCATTTGGTGACCTTTCTCTTTCTTCTTCTTCCTCTTGGCGGATGCTGGATCTGCCTGAGGCACAAGGTCACCTGGCATCTCAGGTTCTGCCACCTCTGTCCCTGGCTCCGTCACCGCATTTTGTCTCTTTTCTTTCTTCCTCTTCTTGGCGGGAGCCAGAGCCGCCTCCACCGGAGGCTCAGCGTCGTCTGGCAGTTCGGGCTCCATCATGTCCCCGGGGAGCTCCCGAGGTCTCACCTCTGGCTGCACAGCCTCAGTCCCTGGCTCTGTCATTGTGTTCTGCGACTTTTCTTTTTTCCTTTTCTTCGCGGGAGGCAGTGAGATGGCTTCCTCCTGCGGCTCCGCCTTCACCTGCAGCTGAGACTCAGCTCTCATCCCTTCCCCTGGCTCCATCTCTTTTGTCTCCTTTGTCCTCTTTCTCTTCTTGGTGGGGGACAGGACTGTCTCTTCCAGAGGTTCGGTTTTAACGGGTTTGAGCTCCACTGTCTTTTCATCTGGCTCAGATGTTTCTGCCCCTTTGTGCTTCTTCTTCTTGGTGGCGGACGGGAGCTGCACTCCCAGAGCCTCGAGCGTCTCAGCTGTGGGCTCCGTCGCCGCAAGCTCTGTCACCTCTGGTTCTTTCAGCTGCTGCTTTTTCTTCTTCTTCTCCACATCTGTTTCTGGGGACCCCAAAGCTTTGTCCACCTCCAGGGCCCCGTGCCCATTCACTGCCTCCCGAGTGACCGAAGCCTCTGGCATCTGCATCTTCTTTTTTCTCTTCCCCGAAGTGGGTGACTTCTGTGCCAGGGCTGACCCAGGCCCTGTGACCGGTAGGTTGCCTCCAAAGGCACAGAACCGAGGCTTCAGGCCAGGGGGGATCTGTGGTGGGGGACTTGCTGCAATGGGCTGGAGAAGGGTCCCGGACAACGATTGTTGTGGACCCTCAATGATCCTGAGGCAGCCCTGGGGGGCCGGGACACAGGTGAGTCCACCTCCCGCCTCCACTGAGGGGGCCAGCAGGGTTGTTTCTCCAGTCTGGGGGCTGCTGCTGCTGCTGAGGACCCGATAGCGGTGCCGCTTGCCTGCCAACTTGCCTTTCACAATCTGGGAGCGAGACAGAGGCACGCGCCGCCCATTGAGGCTGAGGGGAGAAAGCGGGAGGGCAGAAGCTGAGAGCCTTTTGGTGGAACGGGAGAAAGGAGGTCAAAAGCGCATTTTGGCGTTCCTCGGAAATGCCCCACTAAATTTCCCTCAAGCTCAGCCTCTCGGGTGGGGAGCATTCCCAGGGAACAGTATGGGACCACTCACCACTCCGGGGCAAAGTCTGCAGGGGCCTGGATAAGCCACACCTCCGTATCTGGGTCTGTCAGGGCCTCCAAGGAGAAACGAGGGGACTCTGAGGCTGGGGGCGTCGCGGTAAAGTTGGGGGGACAAGAGAACCGAGCGGCACCTGCGGGAGAAGGGGGAAAGCGGGGGTCTATGACACTTCCCTGCCGGTCCAATCCTCCAGGGCGCCTATCGCTCCATTGGTCCCAACCTCGTGAGATCTCCAAAGCCCTCTCCTGGTCTCTCCTCTCTGCCCGCCTGTTGGGGCGTCCCCATCTCCACCGCACTAACCCCTGGGGGCGCCTTTCTACCGGGAGTCCCCGGCAAGATACCCTCTCTCCGCCGATCTCTGGTTCCCCGCACTGGGAGATACGCTCTCTCCGCAAATACGGTCTCCAGGGCCGCTTCCTTTTCCGCCCAAACTCCCGGGACGCCCTTTCCCCTGCCACCAGCTCACCGTCCGCACCCCGTCGATCCGCCCGCTCACCGTTGGACTGGGCCCCCTCCATCCCGGGATCCACGTCGCGCGCAAACCCAGCAGCCGGGGTTCCTTGGCCGCCGCTGAAGACCACGTGGACCCAAAGGGGTGGGGCCTCATCCGGGAGCGCCCAAGGGGCCAGGAGCGCGGGGGACACCGCTCGGCGGCTGTTCGTTCTTCGGGTAGAACTGGGGGAAATTTCCATTGTGCAGAACACACAACAGAGAAGACGTCTTCTCCTTAAAATCTGCTCCGGGATCAGGCGATTCTCTCTTTTGTTGGAGCCAGAGCCTCGCCGGTCCCGGCAGGTCTCCCCCACAGTCTCTAGGACATGGTTTGTTCCAACACCGCCTTAAAGGGGCAGCTGCCCCGATAGGCCCTAACTCTTAAAGAGACAGGAAGGTCGATTGGTCTGACGTTCTTAAAGAGACAGGTAAGAATCCTGGACAGTAGGGCTGTGCTTTCAGTGTTGCAATCCCTTCTGGGGAGGCCCAGATGCCTTGGAAGTTGAGAACTTGAGTGGGAGAGGTGGAAAAAAGGAGGAATGGGGGTAATCCCTCCCCAGGGCGTGAAGTAGCAGCCAGGGGCGGGGCTTCTGGACTCCGAGGGAGCGGGAAACACAGGGGGAGGAGCCTGAGGATCCAGGGGCGGAGCCTCGAACCCAGAGAGAGACACGCGTGGGGCGGTGCGGGCTAAGGGGCGGCGAGCACAGATTAAGTGAGACTTGTAGATGCCTTCGAGGGTTTACTCTAGTGCGTGGGAAACGTTCCTGATGGCTTTGAGGAAGGCAGAGGGGGTAGAAGGCCTCATCGGCAGCCCCTCCCTGCCCCAGGGCGCGTGTAAACAGCGGCACGTGGACGCAGATTTGGGAGACGCGCCCGTTTCTTCCCACCGGGACCGCACCGCGAGGGGCGGCAGTTGGAGCCGCGGGACGGCGGCTAGACGGGGTGACCCGACCGCATTCCTGGCCGGTGTGTCAGCGCCGCTGCCCGCCCCCTCTGCTGAGATTTCGGATCCGACTCCAGAATTGGGGCACCCACCTTTTCCCCAGGAGGGAGAGGCTTTCTAGAGCAGAGGGAGGGTCAAAGGGCAGGGGAAACATTTCCTCCGCCCGGGAACTCCAGACTGTTCCCCGCGCGTGGGCGAGAGACACCCGGGTGCCGCCCCTGCGGGCTCCAGGACTACAATTCCCAGAGGACCCGAGGCGGGGAGGTGCCAGAGATCGGTCGCGGATGCTGCTGGAGATTGTAGTCCAGCCTCCAACTTCGGGCTCTGTTGCTGAGAATCCAGTAAAGATCCAACCCCACCCCCTTCCCCCCCTTTTTACTCAGGGGGACACTGATGCTTAGACACCCGAGGGGATATTGATTCAGCAAGGCTCTCTTGTCGCCTTAGGAGCTGGGTATGTGACTTTCCCCCGGCCTCCAATCTTCTACCCCGAAAGGGGAAACTGAGCCTGAAGGGGTGGGGCAAGAGCTCAGAAGTCCGTGTCTTGCAGCCACAGCGCGGTAGGCGTCTCTGCTTTTCTGTATCTCCCTGGCCTGGCCAGGTCGCTTGCAGCTTCTGGGCCTTGCCCTTCCTGTCTGTGAAATGGACTCCTGGTAAATCCGAAGGGGAACATCTCGGGCTGCGTCCTGGCCCTCTGGGACTACAAGTCCCAAGGTGCTCGAGGCGACCTCGGCTCCCCCTCCTCTCCGGGACCCGCCTCCCTCCAGCCCGAGTCACGTCGTCTAACCTGTTCCCGGCGCCTGCCCCGCCCCGTCCTCCGCTCCCCGCAGCCGGAGCTGGAGCTGGAGGAAGCCCCCTGGTGCCTGGATCTGCCCCGGATCCGTGAGTTACACCCCCGTGGGGTCCCGAGGCCCTTGAAGAGCCCGACAGTCGCGTTCCTGGGAGGACTGGGAGGGGACTTGAACGCCGGTTCCAGGGCGGAATTTAGGGTGCAGACGCCTGCGTCCCTGGAAGGAAAGAGCTCGGATGCCTGATTTACTGGGTGGAAGGAAAGGGGGCTCGGATGCCAGAGTTCTTGGAACGGAGGGCTTGGACGCCTTGGTCCGGGGGACACGTTGTAGCTGGGATTCCTGAGTCCCTGGAACTGGGGGCTCTGGGAAGCCTGAATCATTGGGTAGTATTTGGGTCTTGGATCCTTGAGTCCTGGACAGAAGCGGGAGGCTGAGACTGCTGGGGCTCAGGAATGGCGACCACCCCTACGGCCCTGCAGCTGCCTTCTCGACTGAACCTCTAGGTCTCTGAGCAGAATTAGGGGTGGGGCAGGGATACTGGAGGCTGAGCCCCTGAAATGGAGCGGGACAAGTACCCAGGGTCCCTCCGGAGGCTGTGCCCCGGCTCTCCCCCAACTTTGCGGCTCTGGGATGGGGGCAGGGAAAGAGAGAAAACCGGGGCAGCTCTCCAACCTCCTCTGTGCCGCTGAGCGAACCCCAACATGTCATTAACCGGGGCGTCAGACCTGCCTAACCAGAGAAGGGACATCCGCCCCAGGGCGCCCCCTGGCGGAGGCGGGACCTCCTATTGCCCCATGGCGGTGCGAAATACATGGGGTTTGGGGAGGTCGTTCTAGAACCCAGGGCAGAAGTCCAGAACGCGGAGTTGGATTCTGGGAGACTTGCACGGTCGGCCAAGTACGCATTACACAGAGAGGAAGGGTAAACTGAGGCCGAGAGATCACACAGGCAGGAGAGTTGGGGGTCAGGATTTGGCCTCCGCCTTCCTACGTAGCTCTCTGGGGGGACGGGATTCCATCCACTCCCACCAGATTTTCTGACTCACCTTCTCCCTCCCAGGGCTCCTTGCCCTGACCCTGAGGTGAGAAATGTCACCTCCACTGTCATCGGTTTGGCCTGAGGTACTGTGGGAGATAAGGGAGGTTTAGAGGCTAATTCTGGAGGTGTCTGTCCTTGAGGCTGGGGGAGGGCAGGGCCTGGCTCCTCCCTCCGCCTATCTGCCCCTTCCCCCCACCCCCATGTGTCATCGGGAGGATTAAAAACAGAATGGGGGAGGCAGGGGCATCTGATGAGAGAGGGGTGTTTGCTAATGTCTGGGCTTGAAGGGCATTTGGCGATAGCCTGAAATGAAATTAAAAATAATAACCGAGATTGCGACGACAGGGCTCATGGCGCGGCAGGTAGAGAGGAGAGTTCTCACTGTCTGGAGAGGTCTCAGGCGACTGCCCAGAGGTCTCACATCGAATGAGATTTGCTGAACCCAGGGAAGGACTTCTCCCTACTAGTGGGGAAACTGGGGCTGGAGAGTGGACACTCCACACCCTGGGCTTTTGCCAGCTTCTGTCTGGAATCTTCCAGAGTTCTCCCAGCCCCTGTCTGTCCCTAAGTCACTGAGGACTGGCCAGAGCTCCGCAATGTACCGGGAGAATTTAAGGCTCTGAGATCCCAGGGCTCAGGAAGTTGAGACACAGGACATCAAAGCTCAGGGCTTTTAGAATCTCGGAAAGGGTGGAAACGGGCCCTTTTGGGGGGAAAATTACTTTAAGTTTTGAGCCCTCACTTTGCACCAGGTCCTGTTTTGTCTTAATGAACAGCCAAGGAAGGCTGGGACTTAAGAATCCTGTGTACGTGAGCTTTATTTCGTGCACTGCATTGTTCTGAACACTGCACGTAAATTACGTTGCTCAATCCTCACACCCCTTTGAGGTGAAGGTGTTAATTCCCCCTTATACACATGCGGAAACTGGGACGCGGAGTAGCTAAATAACTAGCCCAAGGTAGAGGATTCGACAGGGGAAGGCACTAGCCCATTTCACGTGCGTCCACAGAGGAGGAAACCAAGTCCCAGAGAGGGTGGAGCGTCCCCTAGCCTCAGTCTGTCCCGACAGGGCTGCAGGATGTCAACCTGGGTGTTCCCAGCCCAGCCTGGCGCTCTGACCCGGCTCCTGCTGAGGATGACTCCTCCAGGAAGCCTGCGGCGTCCTTAACCCCAAAGAACGTGGCTGGGGTGCAGAGGCGGCCAGGGAAGGCGAGCTCGGGTGGAGCGGGGAGAGGAGCCCAGGGCAGGTTTACCGGGAGTGGAGGGGAGCCCGAGGGAGGGGGAGCCGGGATTGGAGGGGAGCCCAGGGGAGAGGACCCGGGGGTGGAGGGCAAGGGCAGAGGCCTGGGAACACAGACACCTCCCGCGCCACCCCCGTGCCCCGCCCTCGCACCCCGCCCGGCCCCGCTCCCCTGCCGCGGGAGGTGCGGCACCTGCCCGGGCCCGCCACGCATTCCCCGGGCCTGAGCTCAGGCGCTGTCCGCCAGCCCGGGTGGGGTCGGGCCGTGACCTGGGCGCCCCCTGGCGGCCCTGACACCCCCCTACCACCCGCACCAGACCCCGGGACACCCACACCCAGGGCTGGCATTTCCTTAGAGCCAGAGGATGTCAGCGTGGAATCTGGGAATCATGAAATCCCCAAGAACCGCTTACTGCCGGAATGCTGGCACTGCAGGCTGCATAGACTCGTTCATTTTTATACTTTAACAGACATTTGCAAAGTGTTTCCTGTGTATCTCAGATTCTGAAAGCCCCAAGTTTCATCCCTGCCGTCTCGTCTCTACTTTCCCAGACCTCAGTTCTCAGAGCCCTGAATTCCTCCTGCACCTTTTGACCAGGTGGATCTTCACAATAGTCCTGTGAGCTGAACTATTATTTATACCCATTTTACAGATCAGGAAACTGAGGCACTCTTATCAGGGTGGTGCTGCCAGATTTAAACCCTTGGAGTGGGCCTTCTTACTTGTGCTTTTATACCATCCGTCTAAACGTCCAGGACAGTGTAATCCTGGGACAGATACAACCTGATTCAGGAAGGCAGAATTCTGGGCTAGCCAAGTTGGAGAATTCTAGAATGTTCCAAAGATAGAAGCTCCGACTCAGAACTTTCCAACACTTGACTCTCCAGCTGAGGGGTTTAGACTGTAGAACTTTAATTACAGTCTCAAGGTCCTTATAGTAGCAGAATCTAGGGCTCAGAGATTGAAGGGGCCTCTTGGAATAGCTGATTTGCCTTCTCCTTTCACCGCTGGGGAAACTGAGGCCCAAGGAGTGGAGGAGACTCATCGACCAAGGTCACACACTCCCAGCACCCAAATGAGCCACCAGTCTCAACAAGTTCTGTTCCCTCTACTTCCCAGACAGAGGCTGGTACCAGCATGCCCCAGCCCGCCCCCACCGCCCACACCTGTGCCTCCAAAGCTAAGCGGTTGGCGCAACAGGGAGGTGGCAGAGCTGGCGGGCGTGGTGGCTACCATGGGGTTGGGGATAGTGCTGGCTTGACTGGTTTCTGGTAGCCTAGTTCCCTCCCCCTGGGCCTGGTGACCACAGCTGCCCATCCGCCCCTGGCCACCTCCCTGTTCCTCCTGCTAACAATGGCTTAGTGTGAGCCAGGCCCCCACTGGATGGGGACTCTGTGGAGAGGAAGCTGAGCAGTCACTGCCCTCTGGGATCCCTGCCATCTGGTGGAGATGACCCAGAGTAACAAGTTAGATCCGGGTGCGAAACCCAGTACTCCCAACTTCTTGGAGGATGACCTTGAACAAATGTTTCTGAGCTGTGCTCTCTCACCTGCTAGCGTGGCTTTGACCATCGAATGAAGCATCGAGTGCACAGCACTTGGCACAATTCTAGAAGGCGGTGGCCCCTCCATTAGTGGTTGTTGTTTTTATTACATTACACCCCAAGCAACAGGCATGGATGGGTTCTGGCACTCCACAATTACTATTTTTAAAAAATATCCCCAGCCTCTAGCTCAGGGCCTCCTGGTCCCTAGAAGGTCTCCAGTAATTGATAGACATTATTTCATCCTCTGTCGACTGGTACATAGTAGGTGATCGATAGATAATTGTTGAGGGAATGATTCAAGTCTTGTTAGGGTGGAGACAAAGAAATGGACAAGGAGTCACGTAAAGACAGTGAGTTGTCTGGAGCCTTCTAGAACCGGTTGGGACTTCTAGGTGGCGTATGGACTGGGCTTTGAAGGAGTTGGTATTTCCCAGCTGGGGAGGTAGAAGGAACAGAGTAAAGGCACTGTCCTGCTCCTAGCTGCCCAACGTTCCCTGAGGGCGGGGTCTACACGGGCTGGGTCTTAGACGGCTCCCTCCCCACCCTGCAGGCGCCCGCTCCAGCTGGCACCATGGACAGCGAGGCGTTTCAGAATGCGCGGGACCTTTTGGACCTGAACTTCCAGTGTGAGCTGGGGTAGGGGGCGGGGCCGGTGGGCGGGGCCCTCGGGCAGGTGGGCAGAGGCCGGGCCCCTGCCAGGAGCCCAGGTCCTTACCGTCACTCCCGCCCGCCCAGCGCTGGCCATGAAGCACATGGAGCACATGAAGCAGATGGAGCTGGACACGGCGGCAGCCAAGGTGGACGAACTGACCAAGCAGCTGGAGTCGCTGTGGTCAGACTCGCCGGCACCTCCTGGCCCACAGGCCGGAGCCCCTTCTAGGGTGAGCCTGGCTCCTACCCGGGCCTCCAAAGCCAGCTTTGCTCCACACCTCAGGCCA